TCAAAATCCCTCAAGCATTCTGTCTCTATGAAGATCTGAACATTTGAAATAATTTCTGGTAGTGGTGTCCTGGGAGCTGCTCCAGCCACCCACACACACACACACACACATGCTGCTCTGCTCTTGTGGAAAACTCACCCTAAGCTTGCCTTCTGTGTCTTTCAGCATCCTTTCACTTTATTCTTGCTCCAAACCTCCTTGTCAGTTTTTCACTGAGCCCATCCCTGAGTCCCTTTCTTTTTCAGGTCAGAGAAGACATCCTACTGTCTTTAGAGGTCATTTTTCAGTAGCTCACGTTACCTTGCCTTTGACATATACCTACTGTCTTAGTTGTAGCCATGATTGCTGTGATGAAACATCATAGCCAAAAAGCAACTTGGGGAAGGAAAGGGTTTGTTTGGCTTACATATCCTGAGCCACAGTCCCATGAGGGAAGCCAAGGCAGGAACTCAAACCAGGCAGGAACCTGGAGGCAAGAGCTGATGCAGACGCCATGGAGGAGTGCTGGCTTACCTCATGGCTTGCTCAGTCTGGTGGTTTGTTTTTGTTTGTTTTTTGTTTTTGTTTTTGTTTTTGTTTTTGTTTTTGTTTTTTTTGTGTGTGTGTGTGTGTGTGTGTGGTTGCATGGTAAGCACATGTCGAACTTTTTTCCCTGAAAATAGATTTTTTTCATACCATGTATTCTGATTATGGTTCCCCCCAACTCCTCCCAGATCCACCCCCAAATCCACAGCCTTTTTCTCCCTCTGAGAATACAAACTGAGATATATAATAAATAATAACAATAAATAAGATAGAAACCAAGCCAGGCAGTGGTGGGGCACACCTTTAATCCCAGCATTTGGGAGGCAGAAGTAGGCGTATCTCTGTGAGTTCAAGACCAGACTGGTCTACAAGAGCTAGTTCCAGGATAGCCTCCAAAACCACAGAGAAACCCTGTCTTGAAAAACAAAACAAAACAAGATAGAAACCAAACAAAACTGAATAGCACAAAACAGAAGAAAAAGTGCCAAAGAAAAGGCAGAAGAAACACAGATGCTCACACGCACACAGAGAAAACTCATAAAAACAAAAATTGGTGCCAGGCAGTGGTGGTGCACGCCTTTAATCCCAGCACTCAGGAGGTGCAGAGTGGCAGGTGGATCTCTGTGAGTTCAAGGCCAGCCTCATGTACAAAGCTACACAGAGAAACCCTGTTTCAACTTCATCTACAAAACTACACAGAGAAACCCTGTCTCAAAAAGCCAAAAAAAAAAAATGAAAACCATAATGCATAATAAAAAGATCTATAAGATTAAAACATAAAAGCCTAGATAACGCATTGTGTGACAAAAAAACAAAACTAAACAAAAACAAAAAGGAAAACAAACAAAAAACAGAACAAAAACGAGTGATTCCGGAAGAAACAGGAGTGCGGTGTGAACATGGGGAAGCAAAAGAAAACAAGGAAATATGCGCCGATGAACGAATGCTTAGTCTCAGAGATGAGAGACTGTGAGTGGCCAGAATCAACTCGTTTCCTAAAGTGATCAGAGCTACAGGAAGCACGATGGGCTAATAAAGAAAAGGATAGATTAAAGCCTAAAAAGAAAGAAAAGAAAAGATCCTAGTGCACTGAAGGAAAGAGAAGTCCCCCAATATCCTTCCTGCTTGTTCCTCCAGTACAATACACAACTGGGTCCACCTTACCACATCCTTGTTGATACCAACTTCAACTTTTCCATTAAAGCCAAACTGGACTTAGTGCAGTCAGTGATGGACTGTCTGTATGCCAAATGTATCCCTTTTATTACTGATTGTGTGATGGCTGAAATTGAGAAATTGGGACAGAAGTATCGTAGCACTAAGGATTGCCAAGGATCCACGATTTGACCTACTGCCTTGCACACACAAAGTCTTGGTACAGAGAGTCACTCAGCACAAGTGTTACATTGTAGCCACAGTTGACGAGAACTCAAACGAAGAATCCAGAAGATCCCTGGAGTTTCTATCTTGTACATTTCTAACCATAGATACAACATTGGATGGATGCCAGATAATTATGGAGCGCCTTGATTCTAATCCTTACTCGATAAAATTCACCTGCCTTTCTTTACCAGCTTTCTCTGTTGTCAGTTAAACACACTTATTTATTAAAAAAAAAAAAACAGAACAAAACTTCCAAAACTACCATTGAGTTAGTTTTGTGTTAGCCATCTGCTGCTGGGCCTGGGGCCTGCCCTTAAGTGTTATTTGCATACCCAGTGAGACTCTGTTACAGGGTGGTTATCAATTGGAGAGAGATTCGGGTTAGGGATGGGGGCTTGTGTCTACTTCTCAACACTGGGACCCCATCTGGCTTAGAGCTATATAGGATCTGTGCATACTGCCAGTCTCTGTGAGTTCATAGTTGCTTCATTCATACTGTGTCTAGACAGCCTTGTTTCCTTGGTGTCTTCCCATTCTCTTGGCTCTTACGATCTTTCTGCTTCTCTTTCACAGAGTTTCCTGAGCCCTGAGGGGTGGGATTTGATGGAGCCATTCCAAGGTCTCTCACCTTCTGCACACTTGTGTGCAGTTGTGTGAGTCTCTGCATTTATTCCCATCTACCTACCATAGGAGGAAGATTCTCTGATAATGGTTGAGACACTGATCTATGTATGGCAGAATGCTTTCAGGAGTCATTTTATTACTATGCATCTTTAGCAGAACAATAGTATTTGTTTTTTCCCTTGGTCCTTGGTGTATCTAGTCTCAGGTTCTTGGCTATCTGGGCAGTGTAGGGCATAAGTTCCGTCTTATGGAGTAGGCCTTAAATTCAACCAGATAGTGGTTGGTCACTCCCACAGCTTTTGTGCTACTATTGTACCAGCATGTCTTGCAGGCAGTCACCATCGTAGATCAAAGTGTTTGTAACTGGGTTGATGTTTACCAGCTTGACTTCCCCGTGTTCATTGAGTCAGAGAGGTATTGTCTTCAGCAATATGGAGTTGCCATCAGTTTGTAGAGAGCAACCAACATACTTGGCTATAGCCTGGATTGTTTGGGGTTTTCCATGGAACCTTTTTGGCCAACAACTCAATTATATGTAACCCATTCCCAGCACCGGAGGTTCTATTTGGGGGTTTGCTTTCTTATGGCACCCAGAACCATCAGCCTAGGGGCAGCACCACACCTCAATCATTAATTAGGAAATGCCCTACAGGCTTGTCTACAGCCTGATTTTATAGAGGCATGTTCTCAGTTGAGGTTCCTTCCTCTCAGATGACTCTAACTTATACCAAGTTGACATAAAAACTAGCCAGCACACCTGCTATGTGCTAGGACTTTGCTATGCGGAAGGAATGAACATAGGAAATCTGTATCATCCTTAATGAGACCAAATGGACAAAACACTTGGCAATCTCTCTAAACAAATGCAAGCTAATGTCAAGATGGCATAGATAATAGTCCATAATGCTTTATGCAGCATATAAAACTGCTCTTCACAAATATGGCCTAGGTTTTGTGAACTGAACCCTTGGGTTAGATGTTCTGTGGTCTCACTGTACGGGTCAGTAAACCGAGGCTGAGATATGGAATGCCATTTGCTCAGAATTGGAATGTTAGTTCCTGAAAGACCCCCGAAGAGGTACTTTCGTAGAAGGAGACCCGCACCCAGGAATCAGCGAGACCACGAACTTGGATGCAAAACCGCAAGAGGCTTTATTGGAGATACGGGTACCCGGGCGACTTAGCTTCTGTGAAGCCAAGCGCGCCGAGCCAAGGGAAAGGGGTCCTTATATAGGGAAAAAGGCACAAGCTAGAAGCAGGGATTCTATTGGATAATTCTAATGAGGCATTGTACAGAGCTATTCCCATTGGTCAATGTAAATGAGGCGCTATACAGGGTTATTCAAATGAGGCGAAGTACAGAGTTATTCAAATGAGGTGAAACACAGAGTCTTTCAAATGAGGCGAAATACAGAATCATTTCTATTGGATGGTTCACATGAGACACAGAGCCATTCCAGATCAGCATATTCTCAAGGTCTGGTGTCTGGTACAACAGACTCAATTCCCGGAAGCCCGCCGGGGGTGGGGATCGGGGAAGCTGCCGACAGGAGGAGGAGGAGACAAACTTGAGAAAGAAAGGGCTAAGGGGCAGGGGTCTTTCAGTTCCTACTGTGCTTACACAGTGTTATAAGAATTACATTGAGTGACAACCCTAAACACTATCTAAGTTCAGAGAAAGATAAAATGTGCTCTTCTGTCAGTGGGGGAAAGTTATTTTTTTCCCAATTAGATAGATAGTGGATTACATTGTAGATCATATTTTTCCCTCTCTCCTATTACTTTTGACCCACCCCTTGTCTCCTTCAAGTTTAAGAGTATCTTGAATGTCCCTTTGGCTTTTATTTTTTGGTGATAATAGTTGGCCTAGGACCTATCCCAAAGAGTAAGCCAGACTTTGAAGACCCCCTATGGAAGGCCTTACCCTCCCTTGGAAGCAGAAAGGGTATGGGATACGTGTTGTGTCAGGTTCGAGGAGCCCAGAGACTAACCAAAGGAGTCGACACTCTGATGCAAAAGCAAAATGTTTCTTTTTATTTCAAGCTGGCCAGCTAGGATCTCACTGCATAGTGGGCAAATGAGATGCCAACCAGCCAAAAAGAGAAGCTTTTAAAGGGGCAGAGCATAAGGTTGAAGGCCACAAATTACAGTTTCCATGGTTACTTAAGGTCATACAAAGTACAGAGTTAGTCAGTAACTATACATTTTAAGGGAGATACATTTGACTGAGATAAGACAGGGCATGGGCTTGCAGGGTTACGGAGTCACAAGGTCTATCAGTTTTCACCTGGGCTGGGGGATCTTTATGACCAACAATTAGCAAAGGGATGTTAACAGGAGTGGGGAATAGTTCAGGCACCAGCCATGGCACTCCTGATTTAAGGAGTTAAATTTTCCTTTATCATTAGACGTTCCCTTTTCAGGGCCTAAGTTTTTGAATTTTTGGTCCCTCAATAGGTAGGGTTTAGTTGGGGGAAGACAGGGGGGGAGGGGAGGGAAAGAGACATGGGATTGACATGTAATTTTCTTTCTAATTAAAATAAAAAAAACAACAAAACAAAAAAGAGTATGGGGGAGAGTCCAGTATGTTTAAAACAACTTTCTCTAGGAAGGACATGTCATCAACATTAGACATGTGACCCTGAAGAAGGAGGTCTGAGGCAGGGAACATATTTAATGAGTTTGGCCAGAGCCCAGAAAGCTGTCATGAACGGCTTTCTGTTACTACTTAAGCGCTAGCAAGGCAGAATTCCTTCACTGCAGCTTCCTGTCACTCCAAAGGATATGCTTAAAACCAGGAAAATATTTGGAGCCAATAAGAGAAGAAAGATAGTTTCACTCCTAAAAGTAATTACGCACATGGCTTAAAAGGCAGGACATCAGATCTGTAACCTGTTTCACCCCCATGTCCTCTACTTGGTCTGGATGCTAATCCATGTTGATCACTGCTAGCTGCAGTGGGTACAACCATAACAGCCTTATCAAGTTTCCAGTTCAAGTTTACTTGCAGCTCTGAAAATAGAAACACTAGTTAGACTGTCTGCCAATTAACACCACCAACTGGGACCTTCTTGAGGGCAGAATTGGAAGGAGCAAGAGGGGAAAATGCCCCATGGTCTTAGGAAAACACAGCACACACACACACAAGCCCAAATCAAAAATTCATGAATCACTTCTATTCAAGCTACAAAGGACAGAAATAACTACATACAGTAAGTACCTAGGATGAAGTTCAGATGTAGAATGCACAAGTCATGTGATATGATCAAATCACAACTTTATACTTTAAGCTCATATCATCTTTTCAAATGTTTTACCTAGGGTTATGCTATTATCTTCCTTGGTTCCTGAATGGAAATTTTATTTTTTGGTTCATTTTTTGTTAATTGATAGTGTTTTACAGAACAGTCCCTTGAAATGAAAAAAAGATGGTCTAGATGAGTTTACTTAGTAATTAAAATGTTTCCAGTCCAAAATGGTAGTCAGATTCTCAGATCTTCATCCTAAGGTATTGTCAGTCCAAGACTGTTCTCTCTTTCCCCCCAGGTAGGGTCCATGGTTGGTTGCTGCTAGCCTTCAGCCTTCTCACACACCACCAAAGCTCCCATCCCCATTAGCCTGCTGCTATTCTATCTGCTTGTGTCCTGAGTCTAGGACTGGTCTTTGGAAGGTCAGCACTATATCTAACAGACGGTAGAAGCTGATTTTTTTCCCCTAAAGGAAACCTTTAAACCTTTGGAGATTCCCATCATTACAGGCCTCTTAAGTAAATACATTTGGTCTAGAGAGACATGGAAGTGGTGACCTACAACAAATTTTAGGATTCCTTTGGTCTGTCTCTGACTTTAGGCCATCTGGTTCCTCCATGCTTCTAGACCACCCTTTACTCGGCAGGCAACTCTGTGTTGTCTGTCTTCTATGTGGCCCACATTTGGTGCAAAGACATATTGATAAACCCATTCTCTGCAGGCGCAGCCTTCTTTCACTTACAGGCAAAAATGGTGATGTAGTTCTTGACTTTCTAACAACAGGGAACAGTTTTTTAGCTCGCCAGTGCCAAGGAAGTTCATTTTATGCTTGAGGAGAAAGAAAGAAGTATTTGGGTGGGTGGGCAGAGGGGACTCTACATCACAAAATTTTCTCATAAAACTCTTCACAGGTCTCTCTCCTCCCTATACTCCCCTGGCTTCATTTTAGAGTAGAATGAGTCCAGCTTTGATTCTGTTGATGTGGTCAGAAAAATTTCTCGATGTTGACTTTGTTGATGTGATGGTCTTTAACTGCAATCTGTCTTCCAATCCTTAATCAAAAGGAACCGTACTTCATCTCTGCCCTCTGAAAAGCTGAATCTATAAGAAGTGAGAGCTCAGTAAATGTTCCGTAAGTGGGCAAATCTAAAACTTACTTTTGTTGTGATGCCAAGTCTCCAAGACACTTCAAAGTAACTTTCTCAACTACTGGCAAAATGCAATCACTCATTTATAAAATACTGATTTTTTTCCTCATAATTTATAGTCTTTAGTATTTACCAGGCAATAAATTTGGGGAATGAGTCTGGGAAAGGGAATACCATAAAGATAAATAATCCAGTCTTCTCAGCAAAAACAAAACAAAACAACAACAAAAACAAGTCTTAACAAAGCAGCAGGAATTACAGACATTTTTGAGTAGTTTATTTGAAAACAAAAAGAAAAAGAAAACCAATAACAACCTAAATCTTGAAAAAAAGAACAAGAGAAAAACAAAATTAGATTTTAAATGTGACAAACTACCAATATTTTACAAATGATTATAAAGATTCCATGTTCCTATTCTTTCTAGTTTTTCCTGTGTGTTTGAATATTTTATAAATGAGAATCGCCATTGTCCTTACCTTCCTTTAGAAAGAAGGCAGCGGCAGAAGCAAAAATGGAAAGGATCCTGCAGCCTTTGCAACTTAGTTATGAAATGCTCATGGGTTCCATTTTGTTGTAGTGCAGTAGCATCATGATAGTCCTAGAGCTATTCGAATTTGGGCAACGGAGTAAGCATTTTGGAAGCAAGATCTTTTGCTTTGGAACTACGTAAAAATGAAATTCCTAGAAATAGAAATATTTGTAAGTATCATTACAGCCAACATGGAGAAAGTTAATATTCAGAGAAACTGAGAAATACTAAGTAATTCTCGGAATCAATACCCTAGCCTTGTAGTCTTCCACCATGCTGCTTGGTGCATGGCATTGAACCAGAACTGCCCGGGCCCAGAGAGAGCCACTCTCCGGGTTATAGTACCTTGTCTTGCTGGATCCTTTGCCCCTCTCTGCTGGGTACAGGTAGAAACCTGCTTTTGTTGTGTAGTGAATTCTCAGAGAGCGTCGTGGTTCAAATAACCTGGCTTAATCAGATCGAGTAGAGAGGCAGTCACTAGCCCCTCACTAGGCCAGTAATGTGAAGCTTGTACTCCACTTTGAAATGGATGGAGCTAAAACTGTGGGGATGAGGTGCCCAGGAGCGTTTTCGGATGTAGACACAGGGAGGCTGACTAGTGGGATGGTCCTACATTGGTCTGGTCCACACAGGCGCAGCCTTATAGGATAGGCTTGAAAGCCGGGAGTTGTGAATTTTTTCTCCACCATTGGACCAGGACGCGAGGCCCGAGGCTGAGAGTGGGCTAGAGATTGCGCCCAAGTCCATTGCTTTTACGCAGCAATCACAGGAGAAAAGCAACGGACTTAGAAAAAATATATCTAAGTTCCTTAACTTCTGGAGTCTGCGCAAGCGCGCTGGCGCCTACGCAATTCGGTCGTCTTGCGCAACTCTAGGGCTGCGGGCCGCGGGCCGCTTCTGCTTCCGGGTCACGGCTTGACAGCGGCTTCTCGGACCGAGCTGTGCCCCGCGGTTCGGTGAGTGCTGCCGTGGGAGTGGGGACGGTGTGAAGCCGGGTCCCCAGCCGGGAGCCCCGCAGCCACTCACCCCCCTAGCCTCGTGCCCGGCCCGGGCTGCGAGCCTCCGGACGGTGCCGCCGTTCCCTGCGTTTGCGGGTGGTGGGGGCGGGGACAGCTCGGTGTCCGCGCCCCGGGGTGCAGCCTGAGGCTCCCTGGGCTCGCCGGGATTGCTGCGAGCTCCTGGGGTCCCTGCTGCAAGGGACGCCGCAGTCCTGGCATTTCCTGCCCTTGTCCAGGCTCATGAGCTCGGCCAGGCTCGGCGACCGCGAGCCTCCAGCAAGCAGCAGGTGTCCTGGGATTGGGTGCCCCAGTCCAGGCCGACGGTCCCGGAGGCGGCGAGGCCCAGGCCTGCCCAGAACAGGAGCTGTTGGGTCTGTTGAGTGTCTTTCCGCATTGCTTTTTTTTTTTTTTTTTAATGTTGTTTTCCCTGCATTCTAGGGAAAGAAAACAGGGCATGGGGCCGGTGAGCCCCAGCTAAGGAAAGGACCCACCAGGGGTCAGACTGCAGGGTAGATTATTCTGACCCGTCCTCAGTGCGAATGCTGTCCTCATTTAAAGTCACACTGTTTCACCTGGAGCTTCCCTGTAGCAGGAGATGAACACCGGCCATGCTCTCTAGATTAGAGTTCTTACCCTGGAATCCAGGAGTACCCATAAAATGAGTGCAGGGTTCATTGTCATCTGCTTAACCGTGTACCAGAAACTTAAAAGAGCCACTTCAGTCCAATGCATCCCCTTTAGAGAGCCTAGGTTTTGTCCTCGGTCCACACCATTGTTGGGACCCCAGACTCAAACCTACTTTTGTGCCCTCCATGCTTTTGAGGGGGAGGGTGTGAGTGTTTGTTTGAGTGCTAGGAGTTGAAAAAATAATTTGCCAAATTCTAAGGAGCACTCAACTGCCAATTCGTGCCCATAGCCTTGTACACCTTGAAACAGATATAAATGGCTACTGATTAGCAGAAAGAAACTAGTAGAATTTGTACGATAGTATAGAATGTGTAAAGGGATACCCCGCCACAAAAGCAAATCTATATTGCAGAATTACCAAAAATGTTTTTTCATGATTGTGTTATTAGTACTTGCATGTGTAATTATGAAAATTATTAGGTTCCAAAGTAAAAGCTTTTGCTTCTGGGTTACACCTTGACAGCAACTTCCCTGACCCAGAGGTTTGATGAGTGGATCCTGAGTGCTGGATGGTGTGAAGTGAAGTCAAATAATGGTTTAACAAATGTCTGTTGAGAGCGTATGTGTTTAATCGCAGCACAGGGGAGACAGAGGCAGTCAGATCTCTGAATTTAAGGCCAGCCTGGTCTACAGAGTGAGTTCCAGGACATGCTCTAAAGCTACACAGAGAAACCCTGTCTTGGAAAACAAAATAAACAAGTAAACAAAAAAAGCAAATGTATATTGAGGACCTTCATGTGCCAGGGACTAATTTACAAGCCTCCTGTTAACTCTTGAGGGGTTGATATTTAATAAATATACAGATTCCTAAGCAAAACACTGAAGAGTTGGAGCTGCTTGCTATTATATTTTTTCTTGTTTTGTTTTTTCTGTGTGTGTGTGTGTGTGTGTGTGTGTGTGTGTGTGGAGACAGAATTTCTCTGTGTAGCTTTGGCTGTCCTGGAATTCCCTCTGTAGATCAGGCTGGCCTCAAACTCACAGAGATCTGTATGCCCCAGCCTCCCAAGTGTTGGGCATCTCCCTAGTCCATCAAGCAATCAATATGTATTAAATGTCTACATCTTATGGGATTTGGCAGTTGGCTTTACTGAGCAGAAGACAAAGCTCTATCAGTCCAACTGATTTTAATTCAGATGGAAAAACAGCAATGTGTGGATAGCTATATTGTAAGGCAAATAATAAAGCACCTAAAGGTGATATTGATATTAAGTAACAAAAATTCAGAGGCTTAAAAGTGTTTCCTGCTATCTTCAGCCTTCAAGAACCCATCTTACACCTTGCTAGCTATGTAGACCACGTGGCACTCCATGGGGATCTTAGTACTGGGCCTCTTAGGGAGATCTTGTCCTAGTCATCAGAGAGTATCCAGGTTTACTTAACATCCTAGCAACTATTGTAATCTGCCTTGCTATTACAGGAGGTGGCACTGATTAGTCACTGAGCTCCTTGGCATCAGTTTTTACAGTGGGAAGCCCTCAGAATATGCTTAACCCAGAGGACAGGCATACTCAGCAATGCGTATATGCCTAAAACATCTCTGTTTCAGGCAGTTTGGAGCATGTGGACATACTCTGAGCCTTGATGAGTTCCAGTATGTGGTACATTATGCAGAGCATTCAGAGCAAATACTCCCTCTCAGAACGCCTGATCCGAACAATCGCTGCCATCCGCTCCTTCCCACATGACAACGTAGAGGATCTCATCAGAGGGGTGAGTGGGCCATTGTTGATAGAGCAGACCTTTGAGAGGGGAAGTGTCAGAGTCCCTGCTAAATCCCCATAGGTGTTGGAGTTGCAACCTTGCATGTTCATCAGTGTTTAGTGTGAGCAGTTAAATATGTTCTCCCTGATTCTTGCTTCATTTGCCTTTATGTCCCCGATGTTTTTCTCCATAAAATATGTTTTAGTTAGCCCTGCTTGAATGTTTTTTGCTTTGTTTTTTCAGCCCTGTTGGGATGTGGTACACGCACATGTGTGAAAGCGATGCAGCTCAAAGTCTTCTGTGGTACCTGATGTGGTACACGCACATGTGTGAAAGCGATGCAGCTCAAAGTCTTCTGTCCACACTTTAGGGAAGGTCTTAGGAGGCAAGCAAAGAGGAGGTCAGGTTTTAAGTCCTTGGAGGTTTCCTCCAAACCTGGATGGTGATGATTGCAGGGAGAGATTTCAGTTTCCTGCTTGGTTACAACAGCTACCAGTTTTAGTTCCATAGCAGTGTGTAGTAATTACAGATTAAGAAAATAAGGGCTCCAGAGTTGACTTGGTGATGCAGAGTATGCAACCTTATCAGGCAGCTCACAAGCACCTGTAACTGTAGCTCCAAGGGTTCTGATAGCCTCTTCTGACCCCTGTGGACACAGGCACTCATGTGTAGAACTCGCACAAGGACACACACGTACATGTCCTTAAAAACAAGTCTTGCTTTCTTAAAAGAAAGGAAACCCTTTCTCTGATCTCAGAGCACTGCAGTCAGTTTTTCTGTCACACAATTAGTACCCTCGAAAGCTTTGGTACCCTTCACCCTTTGAAGAGAAGTTACAGAGTAATGTTTTGGAAAATGTAACCAAAAACAACTTTAGGATCTTCTCTCTGGGTCAGAGTTGCACACCTGCGCCATAGCTTGTTCTCAGCACAGTGAGGGGAGAAGCCTCAACAGTAGTAACTTTTTTCTCATCCTGTTCTACAGTGGAGTCACTCAGGCTTTGGTGTGAACAGCATACTTTGAGCCTTCCTTATCAGATTCCGAGTAATGCTGAGACTCAAGCCACCTTGAAGAGTTTGTAAACACAACAACATTAAGACCGCCTTATAGTTAATGAGGATCATTTGATGAATTGCAAAAAGAGCCTGATAGTTCTAGCTTCAGCCTGAGACATATTTTTATATCTTGCAAAGCAAAGTGGCCGTAGAAAGTGGTTAGCTGGGCCAGCTTTCCCACAGCTTTTATACATAAGGCTATATCTTCAGAGGTATCCAGGTAGCTTTATTTGGGGAAATGACTTCCTTTTTTTTCCTTTTCAATATTCCCTTGGTTTGAGTGCTGGAATTAGTTACTAGAAATAATAGGTAATTGTAGTTAAAGTATATTCAGGCTTAGGCGTCCCTTCTCCATCAAGTCCCTTCTGTGGCTTCTGAATTCCTTCCCATAGGGAGCAGATGTGAACTGCACCCACGGCACACTGAAGCCCCTGCACTGCGCCTGCATGGTGTCAGATGCGGACTGTGTGGAGTTACTCCTAGAAAAGGGAGCAGAGGTGAGTGACGTTTCCAACACTTTCACATTAATGAGTCATAAAAAACGTGACCTTCATGTTTCTTAGAATTTCCCTTTGTAATTCATGGTGGCATTGGCATATCTGTTATCTGTTACTAAAGCCAAGGTATAATCATAAATCCATAAGATGATTTTATCCCTTGGCCTTTTTTTTTGTTGTTGTTGTTTTTCACTTAAGCTGTGCATGGCTTCAAGAGGGAGTTTTATTTCTCTTTCCTTCTCTGCTTACCTCCTGGGAGTTGTTCATATTCCCATTGACTCCTTGCCTTGTACCGTACAGTTACCATAAGTACAGAGACTTTTCAACTCTGATTAATTCTATGTCTGATACTCTTAGATGTGTGAAATTCTGGAGACTATTGTCTTCTTTGTAATGTATCTTAAGATAAAAATAAAAAATTAATTTTTGAAAGTAGATTCTTGGTATTGGCATGCAGCTACATAATATATAAAGAATGATTAAAAGAACAGACTCTGAGCCAGGCATGAAGGTATGTGTTCACCTGTAATCCTAACACTGAGAGGAAGGAGTCAGATGGACTGTGAGTTGGAAGCCATCTTGACTATATAACAAAACTCTGAAGCAGCCACCCCTCCCCTCCAAAAGGACTTTGGAACCAATTTCATGGATTCCACTTCCAGCACAAGTGATTCCAGTTGTGTGACCTTAAACAGATAGCTTAAACCCTTCCTTTGCTTCAATTTCCCCATCTATAAAAAGGGTATGTTGTAAGATGGTAAAGTGTTTGGATTTCTGGCTTGTAGCAGTTGCTAAGTACATGGCAAATTAATCTAGCAGCTTTGTCTGTTGGTGAGCAATCTTGATGGTGCTATATGCTGAGTGTTAATTTGAATCAGACAAGCCATCAAGCCAGTGTGCAGCCCCAGAAGAAGCAAGTCCCATAATCTCCATACAGCCATGTTGTTCTCTGCAACACTAGCTAGTCTATAATCTTGTGGTTAAACCTTTTTGTAATGGAAGTGACCCTGAAGTGAAAAACTGGTTATTCCCTGAGTGATTAATACCAGTGACCAAAGGGAAAGTGAGGCTTAACAAAATAAAACTGTCAGCTCCATTAAATGGTTTGCTTTGGCTTTACTGCACCGTGTGTATGGAGGAATATGAAGTAATGATTGACTCAGTGAGACAACTGCTATTTCAGCACTGGGAGTCTGTGCTCTTCCTTCCACATGAGTTCATCTGAGATTTCTGTAGGGTTAAAAGGACATGTCAAAGCTAAAAGGACAGAGTTTTGACTTCATTGTGTTTCTTTCTGGCTTCCATTAATCACAGGCTATAGAAAGTGTCAGATTAAATAATCCAGAATTTCTTTCAGAACAGTATTAAAGACTTGGACTTCATCTTTTCCTTCTTCATTCCCTGCTGTATGGCAGAGACTCTTGAATAGAGAAGTGGACACTGCAGTCCTGTCAGCCTATTAGGATGATAGCTGGCTGTACTCAAACAGTTCCTATTTGTTCCTCGTATATGTCATCTCATCTTGATCACCAATACTTCAGGAGAATTGCATATTACCTTACTGTTGAGAGCATTGCACGGCAAATCCACACAGTATTCTTTGCCAGCCTCTTTCTTCTTCCTAGTACCATGCCCACTGTAAAACAGTTCCTTCCTTTCTGTAGGTCAATGCTCTGGATGGTTACAACCGAACAGCCCTCCACTATGCTGCAGAGAAAGATGAGGCTTGTGTGGAGGTCCTGTTGGAATATGGTGCAAACCCCAATGCACTGGATGGCAACAGAGACACCCCGCTTCACTGGGCAGCCTTTAAGAACAATCATGAATGTGTACGCACTCTCCTAGAGAGTGGAGCCTCTGTCAATGCCCTGGATTACAACAACGATACACCACTCAGTTGGGCTGCCATGAAGGGAAATCTTGAGAGTGTCAGCATCCTTCTTGAATATGGTGCTGAGGTCAAAGTCATCAACTTGAAAGGCCAGACACCCATCTCCCGCCTGGTGGCTCTGCTAGTTAGAGGACTTGGAACAAAGAAAGAAGACTCCTGCTTTGAGCTCCTCCATAGAGCTGTTGGACACTTTGAATTAAGGAAAAATGGCACCATGCCAAGAGAAGTGACCAAAGACCAGCAGCTATGTGAAAAACTGACTGTATTGTGCTCAGCACCAGGAACTCTTAAGACACTTGCCCGCTATGCTGTACGCCATAGCCTAGGTCCTCTCTACCTGCCCAATGCGGTGAAAGGTCTTCCACTGCCAGCTTCTTTGAAGGACTACCTATTACTCATAGAATAGCCTGGAGGAGACATGTCCGCCATCATGCAGACAACTCTGGGTGAGGTCCTTGCCATCCTGTCTCTTTCTCATGGAACACAGAAGAGAGCCTGTTCCTGCCATGTGGTTTATGGGTTTTTGAGGCAGCACATCACAGCAGTAATGTGTGCACCGTCTCCCCTCCTCATACCAAGCAACCAAACCCAAAATAACAAACTTCCTGAACTTCTGTTTGCTGTTTTATTGTTTAGTTGCTTCTTGATAGTGAGCCCTGCAAAAGAGGTCTCCGTACCCCTTGTAGGACCTTGAGAGTCAACACTAAATTTCCTAGGAAGATGTAAAGTACCCAGAGAATGGTTTTCCTTTGGGGCCCTGGTTTAGCATTGTGAAGGAGTTTCTCCTAAAAATTTTTAGTTGATCTGAAAAAATCACAATTCTAATGGACAAGAATTATGTTCCAAGGATGAATGCTTGAACTTCAGATGATGTAAACTCAGAATTGGGCATTCAGAAAGAACTGGCTTTTTTCTCTTCACCAAAAGAAATAATTCTTTGCCTTTTTCTATAGTTAGTTGTGCCTGAGTGCTAGTCATCTAGCGGTATCATTTCACAGAAATACCTTGATGCTCCCCACAAGAAAAGATACGGAGTCTCAGCAGTCCCAGGATTGCCAGACCATTCTTCAGTGGGGCTCTTTGTCCCCGAGACTCCTCTGCACTAATGGGCTGAGCATGAGTTTCCTGCACTTAGATGAGGGTGTTTCTTTAGCCAGACAGGACAGAGGCACTGCCTTCTGGTGGAGCTTCGTTGTTTTTTGGTTTTTTGTTTGTTTGTTTGTTTTCCCTTTCCCTCTTGGAACTTTTGCTTTTTATTGAGCTATAGAAAATGGTAGGGAAAGTGGAACTGGGAACAGAATATAAAATGGGCTTCTTTGGAATTGGCCTGCCTACCCAAAAAGGACCTGTTTCAGTGAACAATATTCTTCCTTTTCATGTTCTTAAACTAGATGAAGTTGATACTGACCTTAAGTTATCTGTATGCAAGTTTGGAAAGCACTTTTTAAAAAGCTGGCTGGAACTACCCCCAGATGAATAGGGCAGTCTGGCACAGCTAACTTGAAACACTATGCCTGCTTTTGTCCTTCCCTGTTGCCGGGGTTTGCCCATTTGAAAAAGAATAAATAAATAATTCTAGAAGCAAACTTGGCAGTTTCCACTGTTTCTACTTTCCTCTGCTTCCTCTTCTGCCCATTTATAAGAAATTGTTTGGCTCTTCAACGTGCCTTCCCATCTCCTCCCCGCAAGTGATTCTGGGCTTGGGTGAACAGGAAAGCTGGGCACAGTGTTTAAAAGCTTCTGTTTCTGCCATACATCCCCTTATCCCATTCTTAACCTCAGTGATAGCAGCACGTGGCCAGCATGCTCAAGGCTAGGTTCAATGACCAGCACCACTACAAAAAGGAACTAGTGAGGTGGGTCAGCTGTAGAAGACTGGGGTTCACCTCCCAGCATCCATATGGTGGCTCACAATCACCTGAAACTCCAGCACGGGGATCTGATCTCCATAGGATCCTGCATGCAAATGGTGCACTTAGACTCGTGTAGGCAAGCATGTTAATAAATTTTATAAAAAGAAAAATGCTACACATTAAGGTTCCAAAAAAGCTTTAAAAAATGCTAAGGCCAAGATTTCACCCCATACTGCTTAGGATTTCTGAGGAAGGGTTGCATTCTTAGAGGGTTCTAAGGTGTAGCCAGGAATGAGATCCACTACTATAGATAGGTCTCATCAAACCTAATAGTTATTACTGACCATGCAGGGAAATGAAATGCTAAAGCCCAAACTCCACCCACCACGACTGAATTAGTTCAGAATGGAGGAACTAGGCACCAGCATTCTCAAAGGCGGCCAGGCTTATGCTGTTCAGCTAGGTGTATGAACCACGATCTAGATGCCCTTCCATTTCTCATCAGTGACACCTATGATATTTGGGAAAGGGAAAACATTTTGTCTGAATGGGTTACCTGTTTCTCAGCCATTTCCTAACTACAGCTGGTGACTAGTAATGCATCCATTTCATTCAACACAGTTTCACCTATCTTTTTAATTTTGAGAAAATGAAATGTACTGTTTTTCTTTGGGAAGATGGAATGTAGGCTGTTTTTCTTTCTACGTGGTCTTTGTTTTCTTATTGTGATCCTAAAATACCACTCTCTGTGAAGTGCCATTTTTCTTCTGTGATTGATTTTCCACCTGTCCTAGGATTAACAATGGGAAGGGAGCCTATGAATGAGGGGCAGTTGGCACTTGTGTCCCAATGTATGCTGGTGCTCTCTGTCCACTTTCTTTTTGGTCTGTATGGTTGTTTCAGTAGCAGAATGGAGATGGGCTTTAAGATCAGTTTGGCTGGAGCAAGAGAAATGATGAAGCAGTTAAGAGCACTGGCTGCTCTTGCAGAGGACCTGGCTTCAGTTCCCAGCACCCACATGGTGGTTCAGAACCATCTGTAATTCCAGTTGCAGGGAGTCCGATGCCCTCTTCTGACCTCTGAGGGTGCCAGGCATGCATATAGTGCACATACAGACAAAACATTCATACACATTACAAAGAAAGTAAAATAAATCTATTTTATTTTGAGACAAGGTCTAACTATGTAGCTCTGGCTGACCTGGAACTCACTAAGTAAACCAGACTGACCTCAAACTCAGAGATCTACCTGTCTCTGCCTCCTGAGCACTGGCATTAAAGGCATGCACCACCACACCTGGCTAAAAAAAAAATATTTATTTTTTTAAGATCAGTTTGACTCCTAGTTTTGCTAGGCTCTAAAACCTAGGAGACATTACTTAATCACTCTGAGACTGTCCTCATCTCTGGAAAGGGTTGCACTCCCCTCATAATTTTGGGATTCAATGGTAGCATATAGAATGCCTAACACAGCACTTGGTGTTTAATGTTATTTCTCTGGTCTTTAAAGAATGCCAAAGAGCATTTAGCTGCTTCTACTTCAGACTCTGGCAATACCTGTCTATTTAGAACTGTTACAAGGATGTAAAGTAGTATTTCAGACAGCCAGACACCTATTGCAATATTGTGAATGTCTTTCCTACTTCAACAGGCAGGGAAGAAAGCTGTATGGATTGGGAAGAATAGGCACATGTGTAATTGAGAGTTACAGTCTGGTGTGGGGGTTAATCTTAACTGCACATTCAAAATTGGACACTCTCCTGTCAACCTGGGGACAGTTTATACTCCCATTCCTAAGGCCCAACTGCAGTGAACACTTCAATAATAATGACATAGCATCTGCTGTGGACAGAAGACGAACTATGGCCCAGTAAGATTCCACTCTCTAAAGCATGTGCATTCCAACTGACCCACCAACACAGGTCCAGAACCAGGTGTCTATTGTTCAGGCTTCCAAAATGTGCACGTCTGTCAGAGAGAGTCTGGCTTTCATTCAAGATAGGGTTGAAAGGGAAGAATGTGCTGGATGGTTGGTGGTCCATGCCTTTAATCCCAACACTTGGGAGACAGAGGCAGGTGGATCTCTGTGAGAGAGACCAGCCTGCTCTACAGAGTGAGTTGCAGAGTTCCAGGACAGCCAGGAATGTTACACAGAGAAACCCTGTTTCAAAAAAAACAAACAAACAAAAAAGAAAACAAAAAAAAAGAAAGAAAAAAGGAAGAATGCTGAGTTGAGGAGCAGAGATTAAAGAAAACAAAAAAAAAAGAAAGAAAAAAGGAAGAATGCTGAGTTGAGGAGCAGAGATTGTGGAATGGCAAGAAAAAAGTGAGTCTGGGTAATGGATAAATGATCAAGAAGTAAACCATAACTTCATGCTTGGAGACAGGCACATCATCATGACTGTAGAGGATAATAGAGGGACTTGTGGGAGATGGGCTATGCCGTGTGTTTGGGACACTATACATCAAGAGATGCTGGAAAAAATACAATAAAAAACCTTCAACAAGCAGAAATGCACAGGACAATCACATGTGCTATTCTCCCAGGAGTTCTGTCTGGGTAGGTGTGGGGCATGGGGCTGGTATCAGTACAACCCCCTTGTGTCAGTAATAAGGAGAGCACCAAAGCACAGTGACAAGCTGGCATTTATTAGTGTAGTTATACTCCATCACTGTGGTAAAAGTAAAGGGATCTAAGACTCTTTGTTATCACAAAGAAATAAATAAAGCTTATTTTTAGGAAAACTCTGGGTGGCTGAAATGTAGCAGTAGCACTAGAGGAATCCAGCCTATGTTAGAGACGAAGCTGGGGTAGAAGGAATGACAGCTACCTAGAGGGAGGTTCACTCACTGCCCTCCCCCAACTCCTGGCCACAGCTGATCCAGGTTGCAGGGACAAGGAAACCTAATAGGGTAGAGGGCTGGGGCTAACACACTGAGGAATCAGGGACTTAGATCTACCAGGGCATGAGCTGACCATGATCAGACTCTCTCCCTCCAAAGAGGTCTAGACGGCAGCTTCTCCAGACCGCTTTCTAGAAATGTGCTCCAGATGGGCGTGGTCAGAAGTGTCCAGATCAATCTCATACTTGGCAAGGATTTTGAGGATTGGCCTCAGCTTCAGCCACCACTGTTCTTTGGGGATCCGGTGCCTACAGAGAGATGAAATAATGGTGATGTGACCTTATCCTATGCCAGCAAACTACCAAAGGCTTATGGGAAGAAGCTGGGCAAAAGAGGCTGCATTTAGGGCATGAGCACCTACAGGCGTGAGTTAGTACAAAAAGAAAAGCTTAAGAGGCAGTTAACAGGCTGTGGAAAGTAGGGCTTGGTAGCTAGTGATAGGGAGATAGCCATTCTAGAATGTAATGACTTACTCAAAATCTGTCTGGTCCTTCAGCTCGGTCACTGGCTGAAAGACCAGGGTCCTCTTACGCATCCCCAGAACACAACCTGAGTCTGGAGTATTGGCAAAGATCCGTCCTGGAATAAAGGATGGTCAGTTAGTCTTTCAATTGTGGAGTGAAGTTCTGGAGAAGGGGCTCACCCTGCCACCTCACATACCATTACGGTAGCTCTCTTTGATTTTCCCAGACATCCAGTTCATAGCCTTAGCACCCATCTTAGTGGCAAAATTCCTATCAAATGGAGTCGGACTTCCACCCTGAGGGAAGAATCAGAAAACAGGGAAGTGTAGAGATCTAAATGTACAGAAAGAATGGCTCCTAGATTAACAGGAAAGGACAGTTTGAGACTGCAGGGACTCAAAGTGAGCTGTTTAGCTTGGCAGCCACCATAATCACTGTTATGGAGGTGTCCTTGTCCTCTGTAGTCCAACCCAGCTGTCCCAGGTAGGATCTCAGAGTACTGTGGAGTGAAGTTCTGGAGAAGTTTTTCTGTGTACTAAGAGCAAGCAAGTAGGAAGGAGGAAAAAAAAGGACACAGGGATAACAACACTCTATTCCTGCAGAGGCTGCACCTTCCCGCAACCTGAGATCCTGGGAAATCTTTGTGGGTAGAGAAACACTGGTGCTTAAGCAGCATCAGCTGGGGCCATTTGGAACTAGTAGTAGACATGTGAGGCCTTTCTCCTAAAGCCCAGTTAGTGGCGATGGAAGCCTACACTCATCCATTAGGTTCAAGAAAGGCCAAGCAAGATGTGGATGGGAAAATCAGCCAGGCTCACTCAGCTCTAGTTCACGTTTGGTAAGTGGCCCTGAAAATGTTTTTCTCTCTAGACCCCATTTTCCTTATCAGAACCGCTGGTTCTCAACTCATGATCCATCTGGCCATGTTTGGGGGGTGTCTCTGTTCAAACTGAGGGTGAAGGGGAGATATGACTGGCTTATAGTAGGTAGAGGTCAGGAGTACTGCTGAGCTCCTACATTGCACAGAAAAGCCCCCCACAGCAAAGAACTAATCGTTCCCCAATGGCAATGATACCAAGGTTGAGCAACTATATCCTAAGCAAAGAGGATAGATTGCATCTCTGGGATTGTGTGGTGGTTTGAATAAGAATGCCCCCCATAGGCTCATATACTAGAATGTGCTATCACCAGGGAGTGGTACTATTTGAAATTAGAAGAATTAAAAGGTGCAGCCTTTTTGGAGGGAGTTTGTCACTGGAGGTGGGCTTTGAGGTTTCAGTCCTCTCCCTCCCTTTCATCTCTCTGAGCCCCCTCTCTCCCTCCCTTTCATCTCTCTCTCTGTCTCCCTCTCCCTCTCCCCTCTGCC